AAAAAAGGGAATTAAGAAAACAAGATCAATCCAACATAAGGCAGTGAAAATAATGAAGATCACGAAGCAAAAAAGAAAGCATTATAATTCATACAGAATGAGATGGTTGAATTAAATCCAAATACAGTTGCCCCTTGAACAACACAGGTTCGAACTGCCTGGGTCCATTTGTATGTAGAGTTTTTCCAGTAAAGTACCATAAGTGCATTTTCTCTTCTTTATGATCTTTTTAATGACTTTTTTCCCCAGCTTACTTTATTGTAAAAAGACAGTACATAATACAGAAGTCATTTAAAATATGTGTTAATCAACAGTTTATGTTATCGGTAAGGCTTCTGGTTAACAGTAGGCTATGAGCAGTTAAGTTTGGGGGGAATAAAGGGGTAATTTTTTCCTCAGGGGTACGATGCTTTTTTTTTTTTGCCACTTAACATCTTCACATAAACATTTTTCATTTTTTAAAGGCTTTTCTGAAGAACAGTTAAAAATCCGATTTGCCTCGGTGTGATCAGCACCTGCATATAGCCCTGTTCACATCATTGCTTCACTGTGACTGGACTTGGCCTTGGTTTTCAGTTTTTCATGATCACCAGTATTGTTTCAGTGAATATCTTCCTAACACATAGAATTGTATCCTTGAGAATATAATCTCAAATGAAGAAAATTTTGTTAGAAATGAGTATTTTCCCCAAAAAATCTTTGTTAATTGAACATACGAAAAATGGGTACTTTATTTTAATTTTTTCTAATTAGTGAGGTTGGCTATCTTTAAGTAGTTTTCTCTTAATTACCTGTTTATATCCTTTGCCTGTTTATAAGTTTGGACTCTAGTGAGGTTCTTTTTCTTATCAATTTATATGAACTCTTTATACCCGAAAATTATTTTATATTTATTTTAAAGACTTACTTATTTTAGAGAGCAAGTGAATGAGCGTGAGCAGGCGGGGGTGGGCAGAGGGAGAGGGAGAGAGAGTCTCAAGCAGACCCCCCACTGAGCATGGAACCTGACACAGACCTCCATCTCGGGACCCTGAGATCATGACCTGAGCTGAAATCAAGTCCGACACTCAACCGACTGAGCCACCCAGGCGCCCCTAGACTCGAAAGTTGTTTATATCAGTTGTATTTGTGGCAAATTCCTCTCACTGCCTTCCTTTAAATTTTTATGTATTCTTAATGTTTTATTATAAAAGCAATTCATACTAAGCAGCACATAGTATGCTCACATAGTTCAGGGGGTTACAAACTGAAAATAAATTTGCTTCCTCCTTTTGAGGCCGGTTCCCCAGAGCTGGCCACTTTGGAACCATTTCTGGTTTTAGTTCTGATGATTGACCCCAGAGCTTTATTCCTACATTTCTTACCACCTTTGACTTCCTGTTAGAGAGGATGAGGATTACCACTCACTTTCCACAACATCTCCCTCTACTTTGAGGTGGTGGTTATTTCTCCTTCTCTTGGTTGTTACTTTTGTGACCCGAAATAATAAAGGTAGACCTCTCTTCCTTGACCCATCAACTTTATAGACACTGCAACTTAATCTCTTTAAGTTAAAAGATGAGGAACATTGTGTACTTATATTTCTTTACATCTCTCTTCTTAGTTGCCTCCCAGATCCCATAAGGTATTTATAACAGCCACATGCCATGGGACAGGCACCATTCTAAACACTTTACAAAGAGTAACTCACAGAATGCCATGTGAGGTACTTCCTGCTATTTCCCACCTATCTACGGACAGAGAAACTGGGATCCAGAGAATTTGTCCAAGTTCAGGGAAGTAACTGCCTAAGATCTGATCCCAGAGGCCTCCCCTCAGAGTTCAAGTTCTTAATCATGGCGTCATGCTGCCTTTCATGCAGCCTTTCAAGAGCTGAAATAACCTTTGAATTGTGTTCCGTCATCTCTTTCATGTTTTAGAACTTGTCTGAAAGTCTAGAAACCAATAAGTAACACTTAGGATATTAGGATTGTTTGTATAGAATTATGTGCAGACCCAAGTGATAGTCTGCATTGGATGGGGACGAAATATCCCAGTAGACACCTAGACTTCCACTGGAAAGAGACTTTTACAAGTAAAAGGTGGTGTGTATTATTTTTTTCTTGCTTTCATCAGTTATCAAAATCATGTATTTTAGTTTGCTTCATCTTTAGACTATGGCTTTCTGTACAGCCTTTTTTTAAGTTTTGGAGGCCTTTGTCATAGGATTTCTTTCTTGTCAACAGAGTGGCGTATACCCTCACCCTTCTACTGAGGTCACGCAGTGTTAGACCATTTCTTGAAGAGCTTAGGGCTCTTTGATTCCCTGCTTTAATTTGTGTCCCTGAGCTCTAGACTTCTTCCTGGGGTGCCCCACAGCTGTCATACCACAATTATTTTTCTTTTTTTTCTTTTATTTATTTATTTATTTATTTTAATACCACAATTATTTTTCACTGTCCTCATGAGTTAAGTCTACAGTTTCTTGGATCTCACTTCTACTTTATTATATTCATTTAAAAACATATTTGGATTATTGGGGCACTTGAGTGGCTCAGTTGGTTAAGCATCCAACTCTCGATTTCAGCTAACATCATAATCTCAGGGTTGTGAGTTCAAACCCCACATTGGGCTCCGCACTGAATGTGGTTCCTACTCAAGATTCTCTCTCTCCCTCTCCTACTGCCCCTCCCCACCCTCTTAAAAAAATTTGGATTATTTAGTCAAAGAACTTTTTCCTAAGATTATATGGAAGGTAAACTGAGCCATGCACACTTGAAAGAGCCTTTATTTTGCCCATATACTTGCTCAGTAACTTGGCTGAGTATAGAATTGTAGGTTCAAAGCAGTCTTCCCTCAGAATTTTTAAGGCATTACTGTATGTTCATCTGGCATTGAGCTACTCATGTGAAGTCTGATCTTAATCTGGTTCTTATTCCTTTGTGACAACATGGTTTTTCTCTTTGAAAGTTCTAGCATTTATTTCTTTATCCATGTAGTTGTGAAATTTCTCAAGTGTGTTTTTCTGTGAAGGTTCTTCTTTGCTTACCCTGCTTATCAGCGTTTGGTATACCCTTTCTGACTCAAGACTTTTGTTTCTCTCAACTCTGAGAAGTTTTAAAAATATTACTCTTTCTCCCTTTCCTGTATCTTTTTTCTATTCTCTCTTTTTAATTTCCTATTAGGTGGCGGTTGACTTCCAGTACTGAACTTGTTTTTTTTTCATCCAGTAAAAAAATCTCTGTCTTTTTGCTATTAAATCTTTTCACTTTTGTTTTTAATTTCCAAGAACCCTTTCTTTTTCTCTTACAGTCCCTTCTTTATGGGAACCTGTTCTTGTTTTATGCTGCATTATCTGTTAAATGTCTTAGGGTACTAAGTGAACCTTCAAACGTTCTCTTCCGTGCTTTCTTTTTTTTTAAAAGATTTTATTTATTTATTTGACAGAGAGAGACACAGCGAGAGAGGGAACACAAGCAGGGGGAGTGGGAGAGGGAGGAGCAGGGTGCCGGATGCGGGGCTCGATCCTAGGACCCTGGGATCATGACCTGAGCCAAAGGCAACTGCTTAACAACTGAGCCACCCAAGCGCCCCTCTTCCATGCTTTCAATCACCTCATTGTTCTCTCTGAGCTCAGTTGGTCTTTTATTTATCTTGGTCTTTTTTGGGGATATGTTCTTTGGTTTTCCTCAAAGATCTGATGATCTTTATTAGTCCCTTTGTACTTATGAGAGAATCAATACATTGATTTATAAATGGCTGGCATGGCTTTTCTGACCTTGTCATTTGGGAATTTTTGCCCAACAGACCTTTCCCCTAAGTGGGAAGGACCAGTAGGGAACCGAGTACAAAGGTGGTATCTATCAAGTGACATCTTCATTTTAGGGTTTGTGGGCGAGGAACGGGGAGCAGGCAGCCTGACCTCCTCAGCCAACCACTGCTCCACCCCACTGTCCCCAAGACAAGAAGGGCTTGGTTCTGAGGTGCTCATACCACACAGGGAGCTCCCCCACTTTGCTTTTCTATTTTAGCCTAGTCTCTCTGTGTGAGGTGAGGCTGAGAGGGAGGTCCAGGTAGGCAGTGGGATCTGGCTGTGCTGTTTGTAGTGAGTCTGTCTGTCTGTCTGCCTGTCTTCTCTCTCTCTCTCTATATATAATTTTATTTATTTATTTATTTTAATTTTTTTTTTTTAACCAATTCAGGCCAGTTATCAAAACAGTAACAAGTTAGAGGTCGTTGGGAAGATGCTGTTTCTAGTAGGAATGAGAAGTTCAAGCTGATGTATAAATTGTCAGCAGACATGACAGCTAAAACCAGAGTTTTCTGTAACAACCTGAACAGATCCCGAGGGCCACACTGTTTTACAGAATAATAATAGGAGGTCAAAAGGATGACCCTGAAGGGTGAATAATGGTCTATTTGAGAAGCAAGGAAGCTTATAGCTTCAGATTTCCATAATGAATGATGAAAAATAAAATTTTGTTATTTTGAGGGGACGTAAGTTGGTGTCCTGGATTATTAGCTGTATGGGATATTGGACGTGATGGATTTAATGGAGTCCGATTCCATCGATGTTGATGGAGTTCCTATGGTGTGCCAGGCTTTGTTCTAAGTGCTTTTTCACAGGGTTCATTTAATTTTTACAGATTATTATTTATATACTTTTAATACTTTAAATCTCTTGTAGAATGTAGCTAGGTTGAATTAAGTCTTGATGGTATGTGTTTAGCCAATAAAGGAGATGCTTTGTCTTCAAGTCCCGCTTCATTAAGGGATTCTGCCCTGATGTACTTGACACAGGGAGCAGTCAGGGCAGCCCCTAGATTTCTTCAGCAATGAAGAAATTGGGAGTCAGTGAGACTGAGCAGTTTGATTATGCTCACATGGCTCGGATGTGATAGAACCAGTTCTAGAGCACAGATTACTGTCTCTAGGGTTCCCATGCGTTTGGACTCTGGGGCACTAATATTCTAACTGTCAGGCTCTCTGACTTCTTATGATTTGTGATTGTTCATTCTCAGCTGCCGCTTGGCTTTGGTGTGGCAGCGAGTGTCCGCGTGGGCAATGCTCTGGGTGCAGGGAATGCTGAGCAGGCTCGGCACTCCAGCATCACTGTTCTCCTGTGTGCGGGTGAGTTCGAGCGGTTCCGCTCCCCGGCGCCTGTCCTGAGTTTTGTCTGTTAAGTTAAAATACACACATCAGAATTTCTCTAGGGAATTGATTTACCTATATAAACTCAACTGAAGTATCCCTTAAGCTCTTTCCAGTTTATTCAGTTAAATAAAACTTCTCATTATGATTTTCTATCATTAGGTACCAATGACATAATGTTACACTTGGTACTGTTGAAAAATGTTCCAGTGGTTATCATCTGCAGGCTTATTTTCTGACCAAAGTCTCGGTGACTGCTTCTCCACGTTCCTGGATCCCTGCCTCCTCTAGCAGCTTTAATGTTGTGGAATCTGAGCAGTTAGAGAAGATTCTGATTGTATTGACATCTTACTGACATCTTTCCTATGAAAATGCCTTAGAAAAAGGAGTCAGAATGATATGATCATTTTTGCTCTCTTCATAGACAGTTAAGAAGAAACACTTTAAATTATCACATTTCTATTTTTTTTTTAAAGATTTTATTTATTTATTTGACAGATAGACAGACAGAAGAGCAGAGGGAGAGGGAGAAGCAGGCTCTGCACTGAGCCGAGAGCCCGATGCAGGACTTGATCCCAGGACTCTGGGATCATGAGCCGAAGGCAGATGCTTAACCATCTGAGCCACCTAGGCGCCCTAAATTATCACATTTCTTAACTCATTGACACAACTATCTCCTGAGGATCCAGCACTAGGATTTATTACACTTGGGAGAATTTTCATTTCCGGTTGCTTCTTCTGTATTTTCTAGGTGTTTGCGCACTCGTAGTGGGCATTTTAATCGCAGCTTTGAAAGATGTGGTTGCCTACATATTTACCAGTGACAGGTATGTACTCCTCTTTTTGAGAAATGTTTTCTGTTTCATGCTTGCTTGCTTTTTTTTTTTTCAGTGTACTTTTCTGGTTCTAAGAGGTGAGTACTATTTTCCTTCGCAGGAAAATCCACAGTGCAGCCAGGAATGAGAACCACAGTACTAAATTTGAATGAATTTGGGTGAAGGAAGCCCATGGTAACCATCCCCTTTCCTCCAATACCCAGTTTCTTTATTTATCAAACCTGAGTGGGGTTTCTCTTGTGCTCAATGCTGGTTTTGTTCAGAGAGACACAGAAAAAGCACATGGAATATCTTCATCCCCAGAAAGGCACCTCCCAGTGCACAGCACATGGACTCCCTGCATGCCTGAATCAAAAAGGCAGAATTTGTATAGATCACTAACTCAATCTTAGGTTGAATTTTACCATGTTTTCTGTAATTGTGTGTTTGCACAATTATTTTGATATAATGAAGTATCTTTTGAATAAACCAGATCCTCTTTATGAAAAAGCTTCAGTAATTTGTACTGGTTGCCTCAGATTACTCCTCTGAAGAAATTCATATTTTTTTTTTAAGATTTTATTTCTTTGATAGAGCGAGAGAGCACAGCAGGGGTAACAGCAGAGGGAGAGGGAGAAACAGGCTCCCCACCAAGCAGGGAACCGGATGTGGGGCTCAATCCCAGGACCCTGGGATCATGACCCGAGCCGAAGGCAGACACCTAACCATCTGAGCCACCCAGGTGCCCTGAAATTCAGTTTTATTACTGAATAATACTTTTGACAAACATCTCTCAGAGATCAGCACTAGCACTGGGCAAGTTTGAGTCAGATGAAATAAAGACAGCCTTTCAAGTGGAGTCTTCTAAGGAACAACCAGACAGGTGGTCTATCTGCAAAATAATAACTGTTCTTTGGGAATGAAGCTTTGAAAAAGTTCAACTCATTCTTCCTCCTCCAGTCTTGGAAATATGGGCTGTTATTTTTCAAGGTTACAGCTGAGCTGGGAGCAGGAGATGGTACTAAGGTCAGTTGAAACACCACAAAGCTCCTCATTATTACCAAGATGCATCAACTTTTCTTGAAGAAACACTCCTCAGGTCACTGTAAGCCTTTGGTTAATTTCCAGAGTTCTGAAAAAATTGATTCTGACAATATTTGTCCGTTTCTGACATTTTATCTTTTACCTGTGCATGGGCCATACTTTCCTCTTTCCTTGAATGCTTGTGATTTTTTTGTTGAAATTACCTTTTGAATATTGTAATGAGATAACTCTGGAAATCAGATTCTCTTTCCTTGGGTACTGCCGTTCTTGCTTGTTCTCGTTGCTGTTCTGCAGTTGTCCATTTGTTTAGTGATTTTCCAAACCACTTTTTACAAAGACTGTTTTCCCTGTCATGCGTGGTGTCTCTTATCTCCTTAGTCAGCCAGTGACCTGACAGATTTCCTTAAATGTCTTGATCCAATAAGAAAAGAAATATTTCTTATTTTTTTATTTTTATTTTTATTTTTTTTTAAAGATTTTATTTATTTACCTGACAGAGACCGCGAGAGAGGGAATGCAAGCAACAGGCAGAGGGAGAGGGAGAAGCAGGCTTCCCCCCGAGCAGGGAGCCCGATGCGGGGCTCAATCCCAGGACCCTGGGATCATGACCTGAGCCGAAGGCAGACGCTTAACGACTGACCCACCCAGGTGCCCCAAAAAGAAATATTTTTTAGAAGTTTGTCTCTTTAAATTATTTGACAGGCACTGCATGGGAAGGCACTTCAGTCCAAAAGGGTTGAGACAGTGGGCAGCCTTTATCCCTATCCCTTAGTGAACTGCCAAGGAGAGCAAAACATGCAACTCTGATTTTTGGAGGAAGCGATCCTTATTGTCCAACATGCAACCAGTAAGCCACATCAGGAATGCAGGCAGCCGTCCCTGCAGCTGCCTGCCTGGGACCAGGGGATGGGAAATAGTAGCTACTCTGCAAAACACCAAAATTCATGCATACTTACTAGCCTCTTGCTTCACCAGGCGCTCTTGCTGCAAGTTTTCAGCTGGACTCCAGAGTTCTGAAAATGGTTGATTTTGACCTTTCCTGCCAGTTCAAGAATTGTTTTGGTAAAAGGATTGATTCTTGGAGCTTCCTAGTCCACCAGATACAGACTTTTCATACTAATCTGACTCTTACTTTTTTGAAGGAAAAATTTTTTTTCTGGAGCTCTTTCAGATATTCTTTTTGTCCTTGGATGGGCTTAGGTATAGGTGAGTCTTTTTTCTTTTATTCAGTGTGGCACTTGACAGACTTTCAGTCTGAAGCACTGGATTTTTCTTTAGTTCTGGGTAATTTATATAAATGGTAGGACTTACGGATTAATCCAGATTGTCTCTTTCCTCTCGTTTTCTGTCTCTGTTTTGGCATATTTCCTCAGCTTTATCTTTCAAATTGAAATTTAGGGTTTTGCCAAGTCTATTTCTTTATCTGGTCCTTAAATAGAAAATTTTATTTTAGTATTCATCTTTTTCGTTTCATTTTTTTTTCCATCTGCTTCTTTTTCCTTGCGTTCTGTGTTTGCTTAGAGAAATGTCAGCTCTTTGTGTCAACTATTCTGCACCCTCATTTTGGTCTTTCCTTTTTTTGTGCTGTGGATTTTCTTCAGTGGCTGGCGAACACTGGGTTAATGTCCGTTTGAATGAAATACCACATTGTCGTTTTGATTAGTAGAGAATAGTGTACAGAGTAGGTCACTTTACAGTCCTATGTCTATGCCATAGAGGTGACTCCTGGTGAGAGGGCTGACCCCAGCCTGTAGTGGTGGTCCCTGTCGACCAGCAGTCTTCCCATTTAGGGTGAATGGTAGGGAAGCAGGACAACTTCCTTCAGGGAGCATATGATAGCCTGTCTCATGTCTTCACAACCACATTGGCTCCATCATGCAGGACCTTAGTCACCTCCAGCTCTGCTGTGTCTCTCTCCAAAATCCCAGGACCTCCACTGTAGTCCCTCCCCAGGCAGATCTCCCACCATAATCAGAGTTCAGAGGATCCATGAATGTTTCCTGTATGAACACTGACTTTCAACTCCAGTTTTGAGGAAGACTCCCATTTACAGGGGATTACCATACACAGGCTGAAACCTTTTTTTCCAACCTGCACATTTTTATACTCATAAACAAAACTTCAACAGTCTTCCTCCATAGCGGCAGCCTAGACCGTGTCCCTTTTACCCCAAATTCTAACTAACAGAACTTAAATTAGTGAGGCTTTATTGTGTACTCGTTTTGTCAAATAGAAAAGTAGTGTTTTCGGGGCGCCTGGGTGGCTCAGTCGTTAAGCGTCTGCCTTCGGCTCAGGTCATGATCCCAGGGTCCTGGGATCGAGCCCCGCATCGGGCTCTCTGCTCGGCGGGAAGCCTGCTTCACCTCTTCCATTCCCCCCTGCTTGTGTTCCCTCTCTCGCTGTCTCTCTCTCTGTCAAAATAAATAAATAAAATCTTAAAAAAAAAAAAAAAGAAAAGTAGTGTTTTCACCGAATTACCTGATCAATTTCTTAGGTTTGTCAGAGCCATAGTTAATTAGTGCTCCATTTATGTGTGATTTTTGAGTCGCTGACTACTTTCTTTTCCTCCAACAGAGATATTATTTACCTTGTGAGCCAAGTGATGCCTATTTTTGCTCCCTTTCATCTATTTGATGCACTTGCGGTGAGTATTTGGAGTGATTTTACTCTGTCTAATATACATGGCAAAATTTGTGTTTCTCACTTTTGAATTACACGTCTGTGATTTCATCTTTGAGAAGAGAGAGCTCTTGCTTCAGGCATTCTTAGCCATTTGTGGAAAAGATAGGTTACGGTAGAGTATAGCATCTCACGGTGGAAGAAACCAGAGTCATCCAACCTCCTCTTCTTTTTCTGGGGCCTGAATGCCCTGTGTGACATCCTAACCAAGTGATCAGGTGATCTCTGCTGTATCGTCCAAGGCAGGCCAGGCCACCTTTGAGTTAACTCTGACCACTAAAAAGTCTTTCCCTAGGCTGATTTTCTCTAGATTTGTAGGTATTTGAAAACCCTTCTTCTCCCTGGAATGATGCCTTGAGGCGTATTCCCAATTTCAGCAATTAATCCTCATGAGATGATTTCTAGTACATTTGCCATCTTGCTTTCTCCCCCCAAGGAATTTCTTCTGTTTGTTAACGTCACTCTGAAGATGTGGTACCCAATTGAACACTGGCTGTGTTAAGAATAATGTGGAAGAAAACAAGACAGTCGTTGCCACTCTGGTTCTGGGCATTTTTGAAGCCCATGATCGCATTAATATTTTTCAGCCATGATATCAGACTAGTTTCTGCTGAGATTTCCATCAATGAAGCTCTACATTTTTTAACATGTGCTTTTACAAAATATTTTTTAAAGATTTATTTATTTTGGTAGGGAGGGGCAGAGGGAGAAGGAGAGAGAAACTTAAGCAGACTCTGCACTGAGTGTGGATCCTGACGCAGGGCTCGATCCCACAACCCTGAGATCATGACCTGAGCCCAAATAAGAGTCTGACGCTTAACCTACTGAGCCACCCAGCCTCCCGACAAAATATTTTTAAATAGAGATTTAAATAACGTTACCTGATGGCTTTCTGATGAAAGCTGTTAATGTAACCTTAGAAGCAAAACATTTTTCTTTATCTCTTACATAATGTGTAGTTCTCGTTTTGAGAACTGACCGTATCCAGACTTGTGATGTATTAACGTAGTATTCCAAACCTGATGTGATGACGGGTAAATGACTGCAGTGTTGGTTTTGGTATTCCTCTCTTTAGGGCACCTGCGGGGGCGTCCTTCGAGGTACAGGAAAACAAAAGATTGGTGCTATCTTGAATGCCATTGGTTATTATGTTTTTGGTTTTCCCATTGGAGTATCTCTGATGTTTGCTGCTAAACTTGGGATAATAGGTATGTTTTTGATTCTTCTGTGATCAACCTCAAATCTCATCTGTCTTATTAAGATAAACTACTTGAGATATAAAGCAGTTGACTGGAAAGTAACCCCTGTGGCATCATTTTCTCCTGAAACAGTTACTCCCTGCGTCCTCTGTACAACAACACTGGAAATGTGGTCTTGAACGAAATAGACGTGATCTGGGCCCTCAGGATGAGGCCAGGCTTAATTAATTACTCAGTAATTCCATTTGGGTTCAGTACTGCAAGAGAGAAGAACTTGGTCCTGTGAGCACCCATCGTGGGTTGGAGGATGGAGTTGCCAGAACTGGCTTGCCCTAAAGTAGTCGTGCATTAGCCTCAGACCTACAACATGATGAATTACCTAGGTGACGTGAACACCACTTACTGAAAAACTATTCTTTGCCCACTGAATGATCTTGGCATACTTGTTGAAAATTAGTCGGCTGTAGATATATGAGTTTATTTCTGGACTCTTTCTTCTACTCTGTTAGTCTCTATGTCTGGCTCATACCAGGACCACTCTGTTTTGATTACTGTAGCTGTGTAATAAGTTTGAGATCAGGAAGTGTAAGCCTTCCAGCCTTGTTCTTTTTAAATTTTGTTTTGGCTATTTGAGGATCCTTGGAATTCCATATGAATTTGAGGGTCAAGTTTTCCATTTTTGAAAAAAAACCCAAAAACCATTAGAATTTTTATCTGCATTGAATCTGTAAACTGCTTTGGAGAGAATATTGGAATCTTAACAATAATAAGTCTTCCAGTCCATGAACACGGGATGTCTTTCCATGTATTTGGGTCTTTAATTTCTTACAGCCAATGTTTTGTAATTTTCAGTGTTTTTTCACTTCCTTGGTTAAGTTTATTTATTTTATTATTTTTTAAAGATTTTATTTATTTATTTGACAGAGAGCGACGCAGCGAGAGAGGGAACACAAGCAGGGGGAGTGGGAGAGGGAGAAGCAGGCCTCCTGTTGAGCAGGGAGCCTGATGCGGGGCTCAATCCCAGGACCCTGGGACCATGACCTGAGCCGAAGGCAGACGCTTAACGACTGAGCCACCCAGGCGCCCCCCTTGGTTAAATTTGTTCCTAGATATTTTATTCTTTTGGATACAATTGTGTATAGAATTATTTTCTTAATTTCCTTTTCAGATTGTTCCTTCATGGTATATTAAAACAGCTGATTTTGTGTGTTAATCTAAGTTTACAAATTTATTAGCTGTAGTATTTTTTTTTAAAGATTTTATTTATTTTTTGACAGACAGCGAGAGAGGGAACATAAGCAGGGGGAGTGGGAGAGGGAGAAGCAGGCTTCCCACGGAGCAGGGAGCCCGATGTGGGGCTCGATCCCAGGACCCTGGGATCATGACCTGAACGGAAGGCAGACGCTTAACGACTGAGCCACCCAGGCGCCCCTAGCCGTAGTATTTTTTATGTGTGGATTTTTTAAAAGATTTTCTCTATATAGGATCATGTCATATGTAAATAGAAATAATTTTACTCCATTTCTAATTTTTTTAATTACATTTTTTTATCAAGATAAGTGTATTCTTTAATCCCCATCACCTATTTCCCTCTTTCCCCCCAACTTCCCTGCCTCAGTTTGTTCTCTGTAGTTAAGAGTCTGTTTCTTAGTTTGTCTCTCTTTTTTTTCCTTTGCTCATTTGTTTTGTTTCTTAAGTTCCACATATGAGTGAGATCATATGGTATTTGTCTTTCTTTGGCTGACGTATCTTGCTTTGCATTATACTCTCTAGCTCTATCCATGCTGTTGCAAATGGCAAGATTTCATTCTTTTTAATGCCTGAATAATATTTCATTGTATATATATACCACGTTTTCTTTATCCATTCATCTATTGATGGACACTGGGTTGCTTCCGTATCTTGGTTATTATAAACAATGCTGTAATATAGGGTTATATATATCTTTTTGAAATAGTGTTTTCATTTTCTTTGGGTAAATACCCAGAAGCAGGGTTGTTGGATCATATGGTAGTTTTACTTTTATTTCTTCGAGGAACCTTCATTCTGTTTCCCTAAGTGGCTGCACACATTCACATTCCCACCAACAGTGTATGAGGTTCCCTTTTCTTTTCTTTTTTTTTCTTTTTTTTAAGATTTTTATTTATTTGAGACAGAGCGAGAGTGAGAGAGCATGAGTAGGGGAAGGGGCAGAGGGAGAGGGAGAAGCAGATACCTCCCTAAGCAGAAAGCCCAATGTGGGGCTCTATCCTGGACCCTGGGATCGCAATCTGAGCCAAAAGCAGATACTTAACTGACTGAGCCACCCAGGTGCCCTGAGGTTCTCTTTTCTTCATATCCTTGCCAACACTTTCTATTTCTTGTCTCCTTTGTACTAGCCATTCTGACTGGTGTGAGGTGATATCTGATAGTTTTGATTTGCATTTCCCTGTTGATTAGTGATAATTTCATGTGTACGTTGGCCATCTGTATGTCTTTGGAAAAAAATATCTGTTCAGGTTCTCTGACCATCTTTTAATCAGATTGCTTTTTGGTGTTGAGTTATATAACTTTTTTATAGATACTTTGGGTATTAATCCCTTAACAGATACATCACTTGCAAATATCTTCTCCTATTCAGTAGATTGCCTTTTTGGTTTTTTGATGGTTTCCTTTGCTGTGTGAAAAACTTCTTATTTTGGTGTAGTCCCAGTAGTTTTTTGTTTTTGTTTTTGTTTTCCTTGCCTGAGGAGATATGTCCATAAATATGCCTAAGAGATTACTGTTTATATTTTCTTTTGGGAGTTTTATGGTTTGGGGTCTCACATTTAGGCCTTTACTCCATTTAAAGTTAATATTTGTGTATGGTATAAAAAGTGGTCTAGTTTCATTCTTTTTCATGTAGCTATCCAGTTTCCCCAAAACCATTTATTAAAAAGACTCTTCTCTTGCCTTCCTTTCCAATTTTAATGCCTTTTATTTCTTTTTCTTGCCTTATTATTATGGCAAGAACTTCTACAATCGGGTTTTAACAGTTTTCTATATTCTTCTACAGTACTTTTATTTTTAAGTTTAGAAAATGTAAAAACTGAAATTCACATGATGTAAGATAATATTCATAAAGAGCTTTTATCAGAAATATGGTAACATTTTATGTATGTTATAAAGTTTATGATGCCCAGATAAGATGATCTCCCACTAGTTCCACCTTAAATATGAAGAAGCTAAAACCTGAAGAGGTTAAGTAATTTTTCCCACAGATAGCAAGTGATGAAACAGGATTTGAACCCAGATAGTTTGCCTCCAAAGTCATACTTATTACTGTTGTGTGCACATTATATCCATCTCTTTGACTTTCATAATTCCCTCATTCATTCAACAAAGGTTTGTCTGTGTATCTCAGGCCCTGTGGTATGTTAGAATCTGGGAAGATAAAGATAAACAAGATCCCTGTCTTTTGTGAGTTCATAGTACCAGCTCTTAGCATTTATTCCTCTTATGTTCTTTGGCAATTTTTCTACTCTTTGAATGTAGTCCTTCACCAAGGCCCAGGAGATGATCCTTTTGCTTCTCTTGTTCTGCATTCTCTTCCTCAAAAGCCTCAGGGTCTCACCTCAGTCTTTGGTGCCTGTGGCTCTTGAATCTCCATCTCTGGGCCTGACTTCATGCCTGAGATCCTGCTCTGTGTATTTCAGCTGCCCCACGTATTCACGGTGGTCCTGCCAACATCTCTGACTCCTGGCCCCCTTTCTGATCTAGTCTTCTAGGCTCAAGAACTCTGCCCCAATGATGCTGCCAAGTCTTACCAGTTCTGCCTCTGTAATCTTTCATATCTTCGAGGGATTTATCCCTATTTCAGAGAGGAAGAGTTGAGAATTAATAATGGGTATGGCATTTATCTTAGCGTTTATTATCTCTGGTAAACTATGTACCTAACTCAGATATTTATTACTCTCATGAAGGTGTTACCATTCAGCATGTGTTTTCCTGCAGAGCAAGCAAATGAAGAGGTACGTGGGGCCGCTTCTGTTTCTCAGACATCTTCTTTCTTTCTCAGGGAAATTCTTCTCTCCTGGGTTTATTTTTTGTTTATTTATTTATTTTTAAAGATTTATTTATTTATTTATTTATTTGACAGAGAGAGACAGTGAGAGAGGGAACACAGCAGGGGAAGCTGGAGAGGGAGAAGCAGGCTCCCCACTGAGCAGGGATCCCCACGTGGCAGGGGATTCTCCTTCTCCCTCCTCTCTGCAGCTCCCTCTGCTGTTCCCCTGCTTGTGTTCTCTCTCTCTGTGTCTTGTCGACAGGACCCTGGGATCATGACCTCAGCCGAAGGCAGACACTTAACGACTGAGCCACCCAGGCGCCCCTCTCTCCTGGGTTTAATCTCAAAATAGTACCTGTAGATTTCTATCTGTAGGGAATAAATCCATTCACGTCAAAAGAGGACAGAGCCAACTCTGAAATCCAGCCACCAGTTAGTCCCAGACCTGGAGGCCGTTTGTGTTTCCATGAAATGGGTGCATCTCTGATAGTTGTTTATGTTCATTTTGGAAATGTTAGCTTCTGTTCAGGCATTTTTAAAAATCCTTTTCCTCAAAAGCTTTTACACATTTCTTGTTAATTTTAGCCTGAGACGTTTTATCCTTTAGTTGCCATTGTAAATGAAGTTTTTCCCTTCCAATATATAATCTAAGTGGTTGTTGTTTATGTGTAGGAGGGCTGTTAGTTACTATATGTGAATTTTCTGTCTTGTTACTTTGGAATTCCTCTAGACTGCAGTAGTTTTCCATTTGTTCTCATGGCTTTTCCAGGTATAGAGTCATATCATCTACAAATAATTTTATATTGTCTTTACCAGATTTGATAACACTGATTTCTTTCTTTCTTTTTCTTAATGCCTCTAGTAATATAATAAATTGTTGCAGTATTTGTGGAAATGCTTGTCTTGTTCAGGATTTTATAGATAATGCTTCTAGTGTTTCTGTAATAAATATCATGCAGGATTTTGGGCTAACACACACACACATGCAAGCACACATAAGTAAGCGTATATGTACTTGCTTTTTAAATCATGTTAAAGAAGTATTCATTCAGTCTATTTTATTGAATATTTCCAACCAGAATGGTTGGGTATTTTGTCAAAAAGAATTACATATCATATGTAAATAAGAATAATTTTACTTCTTCCTTTCCAATTTTTATGCCTTTTATTTCTTTTCTTGCCTATTGTTCTGGCAAGAACTTCTACAATAGGATTTTAACATTATTTTTATATTCGTCTACTTTATTTTTACTTTTGTTTAAAAAAGTAACTTTTTAGTGTCTATGGAAATGATCCTATGGTTTTTCTCCTTAAATATATTATGATGATAAATGATATTAATTGGTTTCCTCATATTGAACAATCCTGGTTATTATGTGCTGTTCTTTTATTGAGCTGCCAGATTCTATTAATATCTTATTTAAGGATTTTTTTGCAATGATATAAGTAAGATTGGTCTGTAGTTTTATTTTTTGTGTAATCTTTCTTAGGTTTTGATATTAATGATATTAATATTATTCTTAACTTCATAATTAATTTTTTTTCCTTT